TCACAAGTTGGAACCAGTCAAAAATACTAAAGTCAAGCACAGAATGCTTCCCCAGTGGAGCTTGCCTGGTACCAAAATTGGGTGGGTTTGCATGTCTTGCTAAGCCACCCTGCAAATAAGCCATGAGGGGTTAAGCTCTTCCCTGAACAACTCAGTGTACACCCAACAGAAGGCCAACTAATGTGCGTTGGTTTCACACACACACCCCTGCCGTGCCTTTCCTTGCAGTTCTCCAGTCAGCCCCAGCAGGCAGAGTCCTTCACAGGGAAACTTGTTTTGCTGCCCCCTTCCTGCTCGGATACTTCTCCTTTGGGTTCACTGCCTGTTTATTATTGTTATTATTTTCCAAAGCTTCAGAGGCACACAGTTGGGGTTATTTTTACTTTTATGTTTTTCAGCACCTGGAATTTGTGCAACTGTTACAAATTCCTTTTCCTGTCCTTCAACTCTCCCTTTCCCTTTTCAGGAATCTTTTTCAGGGCTCCTTTTTCAGAACAGCTACTGCAGGTACCCAAGCTTCCCTCCTTTTACTTCCAGCCTTCAACTAGCACACATTTATAAAAACAGTAGAGCTGTAAAATTATGGTAATACTGAAATCAGGGCACGGGCGGGGGGAGGATGCCTTGGTCTCTGCTTTCCCTCCTTATGGCTCCTTGTCTTTACTCTGGACTCAGACTATCAGCACTCCAGATAGCAGATGCTGTCAGAGAGAGGAAGTTCCTTGACAAAGCTTCATATAAGCTCTGTAAAGTGGGACACATGGTCAACAGGCTGCAGAAGTGAAGTGCTTTCTGTCTTCCAGGAGACAGAAAAGAGTAAGACCTGCAACAAAATGTTGCCCCGGAGAGAACTTATTTTCAGGATGCTAGCTTGCCAGCCATGGCCTTTTTCAGGATTCTTCATTTAATTTAACCTTCTCAGTACCCCATTTCCCTATCCTGTGCCTATTAAGCTGTGGGGGGGGGGTTGTTTTTTTTTTTTTTTTTTTTTTGAGGGGGTGGAAGTGGGGTTCCTAAATACTTATTGTTATATCAGCAGACTTTCAGTTTCCTTCCCAAACCTGCTCTTCAGTACCAGTGTTGCTGTTTTAGCTACATGAAGATGAACACTCAAAATCAATAAAATTTTGTATGTCCATTAGGGACTTCGTTCATTCCAGCCTGGATCTAATGCTGTGGCATTCGGCTGAGTTGTCTGTTGGTTTTGCTATTTTGTTGGTTTCTTATGCTGCTCTGAATATTTTATGCTGTAGAAATGTGATGCAAGTATTATTTAAATTTAAATTGCTTTGAAGTAATTACTTTGTTAGGACCTCAGCACATTTTCCTTGTAAAAAATGGTTTTGCAAAATAGACAGCGTAGCTGCAAGGAACTCTGAACTGCAGGTATGAGCTTGCCAAGAGGAGATAGTGGAATATTTTCCTTCATATGATTTTTAATACTTGGCTGTACTCAGAGTGCATTCAAAAGCTACATTAACAAGGATGCTTTGCATTTCTTCTCCTGTGTTTTCAATGACAGTTGACACCAAAGTATTGTAATGAGTCATAAGGGACAAACTCTGCCAGCTGAAGTGCTCTGCGTGCTTGCAGGTCACCAAGAATTACATCCAAATTAATCACATGACATTATCTCATTCTTTAGACTTTACTATACTGGTTGGTATTTATGAAAATGCCTGAAATCAAAGGTGGCCAATCTAACTATAGTAGTGAGTTGTTCAAGTTGTTGTTTGGATAGTACACAAAGGCATACGTTTTATTAAGCACTTTTCATTAGAAAGGGTTAGAAATTGTTGGGGGTCTAAGTTTATTTCCTGTGCTGGTTAAGAGGTTTTTTTTTAAAAAAAAAAAAACTATTGTAATTTTTCTACTACTAATCATCTACTAATGGCACATTTACATTTCAAAGTTAAGTTTTAAAATCAAAACAAAAAGAAAATATTTAGTGTTTTTATAAAGAAACGACAAACTAGATTTGAAAGAGCCAGACATGTGCTATTTATACATAGGGTCAAACTGCAAATTATGTTAATTGTGTAGCATGTAGCTGAGGCTTAATCAGGTTTTGCCCTAGAACAGAGTAAAAAAATGGATCAGGATGCTGTACATGGGGCTGAAAGGGGGAAAAAAGATTCTCCATTGGTATCAGTGCTGAAAACCAAGTGCACATTAATGCTACATCATATATTATTTTTCAAGATGTCAGGGGGCAAATAATGCAAGAGACAAGCTTAGTCACAAATCAGGAAAAGCTACTTCCAGCAAGCTAGGAGAAAGGCTAGATTTGCCAGACAAGAGACAAGAAATTAATACAAAAGATGCAACATAAAAAAGAATTCAACCCTAAAAGCAGTATTTGGATTGCCATTTAAGAATGTGTGTAATATACCTTTAATGGAACGATTCTGTAAAAAATTGGCTAGTGAAGAAGAAAGAATTAAAAGGCAGTAACCATGTTCTTCCCATCAAACAGTCCCCACAGGATAAATTAACCCATGTTATGTTGCCTTGTAGACCAAAGTGTTGGTGCTGATATTTAAAGATCTCAACAGCTTAGAACAGGTCTGCTGGAAGGAGTATCTCCTCCCAAACATTCTGATTGTCAGAGTTTCTTCAGAGGCAATTCTCGGGGTAGTGCCAGGCACAAGGATGTGCCTGGATTCTACCTGGGGAAGAACACTTTCTAAAGTGCCCACCCCATGTCTGCGGGATGCCCTTCCCAAGGAGGATCCAAAGGCTCCATGAGCACTGCTTTAAGCAATTTGGTTTCTTTATTTGAATAGGATTAGTTCAGTTTTAATGGGGATTGAGAATTTATCAGATCTTCCCCTCCCAGCTTTGTTAAAAGGCAATATGATAATAGGGATTCTTCCCAAATTGAATAATGATCAGATTGAGCCTTGTCATTGCACAGAAAAGTATTCGATGAAGCATTCGATTGCTATAGTGTTTTTCATCTAAGGGATCTTGTAAGTGCTTTACAGACATAAGTGCAGCAATCAAAGCTAGTGCTCTGTAAGCCGGTCACAGTTCAATCGATGAACTATTGATTTCCAAGGCATGCTGCTGTGCCATTCCCTCTGCTCTGAGGATCAGGATCTGATTAATCATTAAATGAAAGGTAGCTGAAGTAACTTGTCATACAGGGAAGCTTATGGACTTGTGGGGGCAGGGAATAAAGCAAGGATCTTTTTTCATCACCTTGTGTTTTATTACATTTACATCTCCCCAGCTTTCCTCTTGTGAGGAATCCAGGGCAGTTTACATAGTTACATTTTATCCTTGCAACAACAATCCTGTGAGGTAGGTTAGGCTGAGAGGAACAACTGGCCCAAACTCACCCAGTGATCTGCATGACTAAGCAGGAACTAGAACCTGTGTCTGCTGAGTCCCAGTCCAACACTGTATCACACTTGCCTTTCCAAGGAAGAAGAGTATTTCCATATCTAAGACCCAGCATGGTTAAAAATATAAGAAAAAGGTAAAACTATAACATCTTTCAGAAACTTTATATCTATCTATCTGTCTATATTAGTTAAGATAATATAGCAAGCTGATGTGGACCAGAAGTCTTACAGGCCTTAAAGAAATGATATAGGTGGTGATTCTGATAGGTCACTCTGGATGTAGAAGCTCCATGGCTTAGTAGTAGAAAGCAAAGATGCATCTTTGCATACTTTAGTTGGAACTTAGGGACAAAATAGTACCTGTGTTGTCCTTTCATTTTTATACTAAGTTGGTAAAAGATCCTAGAATCCCACTATACCTTCGCAACTTGGAAATAGGCACACCTATTTTAGAGTAAAACTAAAGTCATAGGTGGTAGACACACAAGTACTGTGTTGAAGCAAGGGAGGACAAAGGGCCTCGTTCTGCAGGATTCTGCGGACTCTGCAGCCCCAAGCCCATCTCCACCAGCATTAGACTCCGCTAGAACGAGCCAGAGGCCTCTCTGGCATAGAGTTATGAAAAGGAGACTAAAGAGGTGAAAGTCACCTCCTCTGGCCCTGTGGTGGCAGCACATGAAGGCGGAACCATCTTGGAATCTCCCAGCCTTGGAAACTTCCATCCAATGGTCAGCGATGTGAGAAGGTTGTGCCCTTAAAGGAATGCCTCTTTTGGCCATTACTGTATTTAGTTTGGTCAAGGAGGTGTTCCCCATTGACCTTAAGGTTTAAGGGAGAATCAGGGAGACAGTGTTTTCTGAGTTGTACAGGGCCTTAGCTAAAACAGCTCCTTAACTCATGGGAAACTGCTGCAGATGCTGAAGTTACATGTCAGGCCTTGTTACCTCAGCAAAGGATTCCTGTGAAGGTTGCTTGAGGGTCATTACCTCCTTCCTGAATGCACTGGGTACTGCAGAGTCCTTGAGCAGGTGCTTAGAAAGACTCTTGTGGCCACGCAACTGTAAAACTCACACTGGCCACCACTGTAGCTCTCAGGTAGGTGGGCTTGTAAAAGGTAGCCTGGCCTTCGGGGGCTGTAAAGGATGAGGGAGCACATCTGCTTGTGAAAGAAGCAGCTGAGGAAACTCCTGAGAGAATGTGACTATTTGCACAGAACTTTATGTGAGCCAGTTCGGAGCCTTGGAACATGTTAAATTAGAGATTGCCTTTGGCTGCTGTAGAATATTTTCCCTCAGCTCTAAGTAAGCAAAGCCAGCCTCAGGAAATACAGGCACTGAGCAAGGCCATCTACCTCAGAGAATATGACCTCGGGAGACACTTGAATTATACAGAATTCAGCATCTTCGTCTCTGTCTAGATTACCTCTTTTCCTCTCCAGAGGGCATCAGAAGAAATTTCCTACCACAGCAAACACCTTAAATCTTTATCACTTCATAAAGTTTGTTAAAGAAAATGTATATAATCATTCTGTGTGAAATCTGTTCTGCCCAAAAAGTGCAGAGTGCCCAGCAGACACTTGCAACACGAGAGAGTACCCTAAGTCTTTTGGCAACATGCATTAAAATCCTGTCATCCCCTTTGTTTCCACAGCTTCCCATTACTGAAAAAATAAGAATCATAGCACAGAAAATCTATGGCGCTCAGGATATAGAGCTGTCTTCTGCAGCACAGTCTCAAATCAATCGCTACAGTCAACAGGTAAAAACAAGGGTGTATGCAATGGAATGCTTTGTGGGGGTCATTTCCTGTTATTTTATTCTGTATATTTGTTGGAATGACAGATTAGAACTGTAATGTGGGATTTCCATGTTCCAGAAACTAAAAGGCTGGTCCATTCAGGCAACTGTGTAGGACAGAAGTGCTGAACCATGTTCAGCTGAAGTCCGTTTTAGAGAAGTTCTGGTGGGGAGCACATTCAGTGGGAGATTGGGGCCAAAGGGGCAGGACTAAAAATGCAAGCCCGTTTGACTTAATGCTAAGACCTTTAGAATATAGGAAAATACTGCGCAAAAGCCAAGAAACCATCAAAGGTTGAGTCTTTGGGTCAGAAGAGGGGGGCCAAGGAGTAGAACACAAACTGTTTCAAGAGCCTTGGTAGGGTTGATCTGAAGGGCTTCCAGATTTGGGCCACAGGCCTGAGGCTCTATAGTCCGGGCTACAGCATGTGCTATAGACATGTCCCATATCTAATTTTTTGTTGCTGAAAAATGGGTGCATGAGTCTGAGGCTTATTCCTGCACTTCAGCCCTTTATACCAGCCACAGCTTTGCTTTTGCAGAATAAGGGTTACTTTGCATGGGTTGGGAAGATGTTTTTCAAAAGAGGCTACTCACAACTTTGGCAATAATCTGTCTTTTTGTCATTTGTTGTCTGTCAGGGATTTGGAAATTTACCAATTTGTATGGCGAAAACTCACCTGTCACTGTCCCACATGCCTGAATGGAAAGGTGTCCCCACTGGCTTCGTCCTGCCCATCAGTGATGTGAGGGCCAGTATTGGAGCTGGCTTTATATATCCGCTAGTGGGAACGGTATGTACTGCATTTGAAATCTGTGTTTTAGCCATCATTGTAAGTTTTGAAAATCACCCTTGAAACTTAGAGGTATAAAGCGGTGTAGAAGTCCCTAAAATACATGGCCACTCAGTTCTGAGATACTATGTAGGTGAATATGTATTAGCTTGCAAGTTACACCAATGAAACTTGATTAAAGAATATTAGCTGGAATCCAAAGAATGATGGAACTCGTTCCATGAAGGAGATTTGACTGGTGTCACTTTAAAAAGCATCCTCCTTATAGTGTTTTAGAAACTGGGGAGAATTTTAATGCAATTTGCAATATGCCATGAGGCACCATTTTAAAGTTTTTAAAAAATTAAATCACGTTAGGCTATTCCATGCCTTACGTGTGGGAGAATTTCTTCTTCTGTCCTCCTTCAAAGCTTGGACAGACATATAATCTTTTAGATGTCAACACTGTGAAACCTAGAGACCTGAAACTTTGCATGCATGTTTAGACGATGGTAGTGTTGTACACCTTAGGATTTATTTATTATTTGAAAATGTATAATTTAAATCCATTCATTTAAATGCATTTGGAGCCTGAGGTACTGTCAGGAGATAGAAAGCATCCCTAATCAGTAAATAAGCTTAGCAGTCAACCCTGGTTTGAACATAATTTATGAGGAAATGAGCAGAAGTGCTACCTGCTGCGTTCTTTTCCATTCTGTGATTGATCAGCTTTAAGGAGCAACCACCATTCCTGGGTTGTTTGTCTGATGCTGAAACCTAAACAACAAAGTATGGGTGATTTCTGGATTCTTTGTTGAAGAACAATCCCAGCAATGCAAAATGCTGGTTTTCTTGGTTGCTGATCAAAGCAGATTCAAAGCAGATGTTGCCTGCATGTAGGAACCAACATGGTCTTTCCTTGCTCCAGGTCCCAACAACCTTTACACCCACAGGTGGTTTTTACATGTAAACCAGGCTAGTGAAGCCAGGATGTAGTCCAGCAAACACTTATATAACTGTCCATCACCCTGTTTGTGAGGCAGCTGCTCCTCCGAGAATGGAGTAGAGACAGAAAGCTGTAGGGTACACAATGGCAAGGGATTACTTGAGAGACAGTGACTTTACCTGAAGTCTTCAGTGGATCAAGCAAAGGGCTATTCCGACTCATGCAAATCTGGACCCATTCCCTTGTCTGTTGCCGCATGCTCACACCTTCACGGGATGGATGATTTCTCATTATGAAGATGTCTTATGTAAAGACTGTACTTAAGGCAAAACTGAAGTACCCACCCGCCATGTTGGAAGAAAGTGTTCTTGTGATGTTATCTCAACATTCCAGAGCACAGTCTAGTTTCCTCACATACGCAGCACACTGGGGAGCAACTGTGAGTATGTGACTTATTGTTCTGCAGTACCAGTGAAAGGGCACAAGGAAGGAAGTGATTCCTGACTAGATGTGCTTTTGGAGCTCAGGAAATGCTGTCATGAGGACTTTCTGGCCATGGAATATGCTTTCTATGTACATGGCCAGGAAATGTTCCTTTTTACCTCAAATGCAGTAAAACTGTTAGCATTTCCGAAGAGGGAGGGAATCCGTAATGTGACTTCAGCCCTTTTGTATGCTCTTGGGAAACTTGTTAATGACTTATGAATGCTAAGTAAGTAAGTCTAAATGTTAAATTACCACTAGACCCACTGAAATGGCAGAGATATTAACAGGTCAAGTCTTATCCTCCTCCAAACTCATTTCTGGCCTCCAGATCTGCATTTTTAAGAAATACGTGGGGAGAAATGCCTCTACTTTTCTGTCGACTGTGTTTGCATAATATGACATACAAAGTTCAAGCGACTTTTAACCCTTGGAGTTCTTTTTTATACTGTATTTATAGAATCCAAACAGTGCTTGCATTGGGGATCTTTGTGTGATAAGGAAATATGTTTAAGGAGGAAAAGCAAAAGTAGCACACTTTTTCAGAGGAAATTTAATTAACGCAGGCATGGCTTTTATCTCATCTCCCTGTGACCCTGACCGAGAGGCTACATTATACTCTTGCAGGTGGACTGTTGACATCATGGCTTGGCTATACAGAGTACAGGCAGGAAGGCTCGTCAAGTGTGTGTAGGAAACTGGTGAGGTCATTCGTGAATTATGTTTGGGTGGAGAATTGTTGGATTCTTCTCTAGTGCTTGTGAATAGACTCATCCCCACCCAAAAGTTTTTACAGCTTTGTACTTTCCCACATATTAACTAATCTGCTTTGTGGTGATGGTGTATTCCATAGTGTGTAAGTATGCAGTTTTGGCTTACTCCAGAGACACCACTGCCTAAGAAGCTATTCACTGGGTTGTATTCTGTGCCTCTATGCAAAGCTGAGATAAACATCAGTTTACAGTGCCAGCATCTGAAATCACTCTTTATCAAGCTGGGTGCTTTTGTCTAAATGGAAATCTTTTCCTGTGTGTGTTATTGTCAGTATGATTTTTAAATGAGAAGTATGTGAGGGGAGGTGGATAGAGAGCTGTTCTCCCCTGCAGAGGAAGGCAGGATGAGCTCCAACAGAGCAAAGCTCAGGGAACCAAGGTTCCATTTAGATGCCAGGAAGCACTTCCTGACAGTTAGGACCCTGAGGGTGTGGAATGGGCTTCCACGGGAGGTGGTTGAAGCCCCATTGGTGAGGGTGTTCAAAGATAGGCTGGACATGCACATGATGGGCATGTCGTGAGCAGAGCCGGCCGGAGCTGGGGGTCAGACTAGATGGCCTGGGAGACCCCTTCTGACTTGCTCTGTTTCTGTTTCTGTGTGAATGTATATTACACAAGAACTGGAAGTTAGAAATGTTAGGTTCACTGGACCACATTTTGCCCAAGTAAACTTTAAAGCATGTTCTCCCCTTGGTTGGAAGTTGCTGACTGGCAATGTCAGTCATAGAACAGCTGTATACAGGCCAGTTCAGAAGGAAGCCCCATTGAATTTGGTGGGTCTTCCATGTGGACGAGTGGCTAAAGGGCTGCAGTATCCCTTTCCATTTGTACAGGACTGTCCCCCTTTGTCCTCCTCAATATTCAGTGGATCTATCTGAGCAGACTGTACTGTGTTAAAGCTGAGCCTCCTCTCTGCGATGCTTTTATATCAAAGTCCACATTGGTAGTATGAAGTTGTTCATGAAATCTCTCTTATGATGTTTCTTTTATTATTTTACTACATTGTAAATTTATATCCCACCCTTGGTCCATCATAAAACTCAAGATAGCATATATGGGTGATCTCCCAGCCAGGCATCAACCCAGCTGTGAGCTGTTTGGCTTCAGCAAAGTGGCAGTGTCACATGCACCTGGCCCTGCCTTCCCCAGCCTGGAGTCCTACAGATGGTTTGGACTATAACGCCTATCACCTCCAGACAACCTGGACAGTGGATGGGGATGGTGGACTGTTGGGAATGAAAGAGGTGGTTGTTCTTCATGCATATTTCATGCAACTCTTTCAGTGAGGATGGTGAGGCCTGGGAAATGAGGCCTGCAGGCACAGAGATGGTGGCGGAGGAGGAGCAGCTTGGGCTGCTGTCTCCAGGTGTTCAGGCAGACCCTGAGAACTGTCAGGATTGCATGTGCCAGGAGGGAGTATGATGGGAGAGAAGCTGTAGGAACCAGACAAGCCTGGTATGATCCTTGACCCCATAATGTGGCACTGGAACAGAAGGGCTAGCCGACTAGAGGAACTACACACAGCTAAGAAGCTTGCCCATCTTCAGGGGCCATTCCCACAGGGGTGGGATTCAGGGTTAATCAAAAGGAGGGTTCTCAGAAATAGTTTCTAATTTCTGGAACTGCTGTGTGCATGCCCAGAGACTCTTGCTTTGCTGGCTATAGCTTGTTGGAGGTACATTGGAAACAAAAGGCATTTGCCAAAGAACTGTTGTTTGAAAGAGATAAGGCGTGAACCCAGTGCCCAGTATGGTCCAGCAGTCCAGCCTGTCTACTTGGCACAAGGTTAGGAGAGCCTGCCTTAGGACATGCAGAGATTGGGAGAGCCCTCTATAAAACTGTGAGCTAGAGAGCGAAGAGAAAGCCTGAGAAAATCCCTTAGCTCTCCAATCCTCCAGCAAAAGCTTCCACTAGATCAGACTCCCTGCTGCAGACAAAGGGCAGGATTTCTTAGTATCCAAGCCATCATGTTAAATGCTTTGTACAGTTAAATCAAAAAGAGTTTCCTCAAATATATCCTGAAGATTAAACTTTATAACGCTATTCCATTTTTTACAATGACTTGCAAACCATTAGCAGGCATCTCGTTCAAAGTTACCAAGCACTGGTTTACTGACACCAGTTTAATAAAATAACATGGTCCTTTTAATTAGTAATGTTCCAGAAAATTATTTTCTCTTCATTTAATAGAAAATATTTGATCATTAATACTTCAGCTGACAGTATTTATGTTTATTAGCCAAAGTATTCATAACCTTATTAACATGGGAGACAAAATACGAGTGCCTGAAATTTACACTGTTAAGTGACAATAAATCTTTGTGAGGCAAAAAGTACAGAGAAACGCAGGGGAAGCGGGTGCAGAATATTGGCAATGCCAGAATCTCTGGGGAAAGATATCACTGCCACTTTGTGAAAAGGTTATTAAGGAAGCCTGTGTTTCACCATTGATTTCACTGTATAGATTTCATAGTATAGAATTGGGGGTCTAAGTGGGGCACAGAAGTGAGCTGCTCTGTTGTCTACCAGCCATGTAGGTAAAGTCATATTTAATCCTGAACAGTATTCTAGCCTGGAGAAAACTGTGGGCTGGCTCGGGAGGACACTATACTTACACTATACAATCACTGTCTGCAAATAGGAGCACACAATCTCTTAAACTATCTCAACTTGCTTCCATGCTGTTTGCCTCAGGGGTAGAGCTGTGCTGCTTGAGCAATTGTAAAATCAGTTTGCAGGAGATGATTCCTTCTGGAGAACAGCTTCATATGTTATTGTGAAGGTGGGCTGCTGCCTTTCCCTCATTGCCTGTGACAGCT